ATTATGACTCCCAGAATATCCAGTGATCATTTTTAATACACAAAAAGACATTAGAGTAAGCAAAAACCTCGCTTTTGTGTAATAAATGTTTCAAATCAATTTATTTCATAATCACGGTGTCGTATTCTTAAACAAGTTCGAGAAAACTAATTTCTCGTTTCAAAGTTTTTTTTTATATTGTACGGGTCATTGTGACCAAAAAATGCCCTTAGTAAAATTGCTCTGAGGTTGACTGTTCTCGAGCTATAAGCCAGCTGAAAAGGCCTAAACATGCCCAACTAACAATTGTCACTCCTATTAGAGTTGCAAGAATGATTATACAGTATTCCTTACACAGCATTGTATAATGTAACTTGGCAAAACCCTCTTAGAACAGCTATACAAGCCGAATGGGCACACCTAACAGCACACTTCAGTCATTCAAGAGGTTGTATAAGGGCTGCAGGTAACAGTTATACAACCAAAGTGTAAGCCTCTTGCAGCCCCTATAGAGCATTTGCGTCAAAGCAAGATTCAGTTTTTGTCAACTATACAACTATTCTGTTACGTGATTCTACTTTATTGCAACCAAACTATTTCTTATGTATTGTATAGACGAAGTGAAGAATATACAACTAACATATTACAGTCATATTGTTTACTTACATATCGGCCATTATGAATTTCATACACAGGTATATGATAAACTTCTACACTGTGATATAGCGTTATTGAATTACTTGCGCAGCAAATTTTATTGTGATTATCGTGCAAAGTAGTTACGCAATTTCAACGGGCTTCGTATTTGATTCATATTTTAATAATGATCAAAAGTGTGCCTAGATTTTTAAGATGGAAAACTGAACTTATCTTCGTTAAATCTTCCACAAATCGTATATTTAGACACTTTATATCTGTAATTTCGAACTGAAACATAATTATTTAATATTAAATAATCGAAAAGGAATAAATGTTTGCCCAATATGGCGGGTGGTTATGTATAATCATGGCATCGTCCATGTTGTCTTTGGTTTATTAGAATATTTTGGTGTTGCCTGCAGGTCTTATACAACAATTTGACAAATGTCTGAAATGAAATACCGACAGAGTCGAATGATTTACCCAGAATTTGTACCAGATCTATATCTTCCGTTTGAACAGTTGATAAAACCTTTTGGACCAATATGCATGCGTCATTTGTAGTAAAACATTGGTTATGGCATTTTAACAAAAATATGACAGCAGAAAGTTAGGTTATAGTGAAGTTGTATACCAACATATTTAACAACAGATGTATGCCGAGCACAGCAATTTTGTACTACAAAAGTTGTAATATTGTTGTATATGTTACTAAACAACAGTTGTATAAGTGATTCCGTTGGGAGCAATTTGTTAGCTAAAGTAGTAAATTTGCACAGCAAAACAACAAGGCACGGGTTTGTTTTATAAACGTTACCATGGATGCCACAACACAATCGTTTTGGCTACCGTGCAAAAAATAGTTGTATAAACGTTTATGCAACAGTTAAAAGTTTGTCCTATAAGGTGTTGTATAACTATGCTCTAAGAATATTTGAAACACATCATTTTAGAGAAAATATATTGCAGAAAGCAAATTTGCATTCCACACAACATTAAGCCAGCATTTTGGTGTTCAGGCTGAACGGTTCTTTTACCAAAAGCTTATAGCACTACTTTGCTAGTTGAGTGGGCATCTTCAATGTTTAAAAAGTCGACGAAAATTGCTACCTTTGCACTTGTCAAGTGTTTAAACTAAATGTCTGAGCTTTCCCTACAAGTTACCGTGGAGCACTTTAGGTTTAGTTAATTTTTAATATCGCTTGGTATGGCAGCAAATTTTCGCAGATTGTTCATCTAATCCAGAAAGTATATTCGCATCCAATCGAAAAAACAAAAAGGACTCCCCTTAACGAATCTGCTGGTTGCTAGGACCAACACTTTGTATAACTACAACTGTGTTACAATCTGCTTGAAAATAGTATAGATATTTAATTATCCGCGTATCGTTAACTTATAGTATGACGACATGAAAGAAGTGTATACAGTTGGAGTTCAAAAAATGGTAGATGAAACAAGCCGTGGATAGCCAAAATTGTTTGGAAAATGTGCTATAAGCACTTGAAGGTCATTGGTAAAAAAAGGCACAAAACTGTGAAAACGTGTGTTTTTGACACAAACTTCCACAACTGTTTTTCCCTATACGGACAAAGCTTTTTCAGTGTTTTTGCCATTCTAAACCAAACAGCTTCTTATAAACTGTTCTCTAAAGTTCAGGGTCTTCAAGATATAAACTATTTTATATCCCAAAAAGTGTAAAGTACGTTGCCATTTTGCTCGCACTAGCTAAATGTTCCTAATAAAGCTATTAACAAAATCCAAAAGCATTTTAGGGGTGTGGTTATTGTAAACAATTGTTTTTAAATTAATAATCAAGTGCGCGCTCAATGTATATTCTGCGTGTAGACGAGGGACTCTATATGTGGATGTTGTTAAAGAACTTCGGCGATATTAACCTTTTTCACATTGTTTTTATTATTCGGCATATTTTTCTCATATCTCCAAAACTTTGAATTTAAGAGAGAAGCCAATGCGAATCTTTTGTTCAGTATTACCAAATGAATCTAAAAAAAATGGTGCGGAGCAGAAAAAAGCAAATGTCAACATCACGTGCTATCAACAGTGAGTAGAGTTCCTAGAATTTATCCATAACCGCCAAGTTACTGGCCATTCAATGTGTTTAGCTATCTTGTAATCTAAAGATGGAAAAAATTAGTTTTCCTTAGGCGGTAACTTGGCGGCAATGTGATGTATGACCATTTCGCGTGAACTTGGAACAAAAACAATATATTTACGGGAGATCCGATAAAGAGTAGAAGCGGTAATTAAATAAATTTGTATCATGACACACGATTTATTGCGCCTGAAATGAACAAGCAAACAAAAGCGAGACTATGAGCAGTAATTTCCCCTTATTGCCTTTACTTCTCCTGAAGTCCAATGCCAACTTCTTTGGGCTAAATTAGTAAATCTCTGTCAAGCTGCTGTAGCTTATGTTGAACGTGATATTTTTCTAATTAAGCAGTCAATTAGGTCGGTATCAAGCGGGTTGTTGTAATATTATGTAGGGATTATCTAACTTGTAAGGATATGTTCTCGGAAAAGTTAGTACAAGAAGATTATGAGAAGCTCCAGATTAAGATTGAGTTTAGTTATTATATAGACACCAAATGCTAACAAAATGTGAAAACTATTCAGGGTATATCAGAATAAGCATGTTGGTTACAAAAAGGTCTGTGAACTTCCTATTAGAAATATCTAGTACATACATGGATTTTTATGCACCGTGCTGTATAAGCATCTTAACTAATAGAGGGGTGCAATAGGTTCTTAGTAAAGGAACTGTAAGTTGTAAAGACACTCTTTTGTTGTTGCCTAAATACCAAAATGCTGGATTAATGTTGTGCGAAATGCAACTTTATATCTCTAAAATGAGATCACTAAAACATTATTGCAGCTAATCTTTACAACACCTTATAATACAAATTCTGAACTGTTGTATCAAGGTTCATACAATTAGTCTATACGAGATATTGGCTCGGTAGTCAGAAATGTTGACAACCTAGGCAGTTGCTGTCTTAGCCAATATACGCGACGCATGAATATTTTGTCTTAGAGGTTTTTATAACTTTTCCAACAGAAAGTATAGATCTGCTACAAACTCTGAGTGATACATTCGACGCTGAGCATATTCCATTTCAGAGATTCAATAAATTGTTGTATATAACAACTGCGAAAAACACCGAAATGTTCTAATAGTCTAATTCGGAAAATGCCATGATTATACAAAACCACGCGCCATATTGGATAACAAATATATCCCTTTCTTGAAGATCAAATAGCCCTGTTTCAGCCTGAGATTAATGATAGAGGAGTATAAATAATGATGATTAGTGTAATTGTATCATCTTAAAAAACTAGAAATATTTTTGATCTATGTCAAAATATGAATCACAGATAGAGCCCGAAAAAGTTACGTCAATACGTCATACGATAATTATAACAAAATTTGCTGCGCAAGTCATTCAAAAGCCCTAAATCACAATCTAGAAGGTTGTCGTATATACATGTGTATGGCATTCACAATGGCCGATATGTTAGTAAACAAGATTTATGAAATATGTTAGTTTAAGAATATGTTTCACTTCATCTATACAGGGTGTAAACATTATGATAGTCATTATTTAAGTGGATGATAGAGGGGGTTAAAAGAAGCAAAAAGTTTCATATAACATGGGAGTAAAAATGGCATTTTTTTGGGGAAAAGCAACTTTACAGTAAAATAAAATCTGACAACGCCGCAATGCCAGACGCAAATTATGACTGAATGCAGTGTAAATAAAGATGGAGTTTGTTATTCTTGGCTCTTAGGTATTATTTCATTATTTGATAATGTACTCGTAAAATGCAAACAATTAAAAAAACGGACTTACCACTAACTGTCTCAGCGCTTCACCTGGTGTGTGAAAGTTTATTGAACGTATTAAAAACATCCACTTATAAATAGGGAACACAATTTTTATACATACATTGTTTTTCTTTTTGAAACCTATTCTACACTTTTTTGTATTTAACCCAAGAGTACGGGACATTCGTAAAATTTACGATCGACAATATTCGTCGTGGGTTTTCGTTCATTTTCGGTTAGCGTATCGGAATGAGACTCTCGATACCTTCCTATTTAGTTTTCGGCTAGACTTCGGTGTACGTAACATCGTGTATTTGTCAAGCGTAACGGAGATTTTGCACTTCCGTCGTAAATTTTACGATAGTCCCGTGTCACTGTTTGCTATTTTCGCGCAAGCTGATTTTTATTCTATTCTTTGAAAAGCGGTTTTGCTGACATTTATTTGTGAGGTAAGGTGTTTTCTATTTTTCATACTTATAGCGTTCTGAGTACATGTCTTTCCAGCGAAATGACTTCAAAACGGTCCTTATCTCAGGCAGAATTGGAAGAAGAAGTGAGAAAAATTATGGAGGGAGGAGTCAGTGATCCAGATCCATTTGAGGATAGTGGCAGTGATTGGGAAGAAGATAATATTGAAGAAGAATCGATGAAGGGATCAGATGATTCAAATGATGAATTCTATTTGGACGAGAATGTTCCTATAAATGAACAAGAAACGACTACTTCGGCAGAGAAAAGGAATGATGACGGCCATGTGAACTCCGACGATCCCGTACATCAACCTCAACTTGAACCTTGTAAAACAAATCACTTTCTAGTTAAACCCAATATTTTGAGTTTGAAAGGAAAGAATGGTCAGAGATGGACATCAACAAAGCCCAGCAGAACTAAAAGAACTGCTTCAAGAAACCTCATCCATTTTGTGGCAGGCCCGAAAGGTGAAGCGAAGGAGTATGTGACACTGGAAGAATATTTTTTACATTTCTTCTCTGATCCTATTCTTGATATAATATTACTACACACTAATGAAGAAATTGTACGACAAAGGCAAAATTACACGGGTAACAACAATGTGTCACCTACCACTAAAGAAGAACTACAGGCGCTGTTTGCAATTTTGATACTCTCGGCTGCCAAGAAAGGCATCCATCTATCTGCCAGACATATGTTTGATATGACGATTTCTGGTTCCTTCTATAGAGCCTGCATGAGCTGTGACAGATTTATGTTCTTACTGAACTGTCTCAGATTTGATTTAAGAGAAACAAGACAGGAAAGAAAAATTAATGATCCTTTCACCCATATCCGTGAGTTATGGGATATTTTCATTGAAACTTGCAGATCATCATATACACCATCTTCTTACCTCACTATAGACGAACAGCTTTTGGGATTTCGTGGACGATGTCCATTCCGCATGTACATACCGAATAAACCTTCAAAGTATGGTATAAAAATTGTCATGCTATGTGACAACTAAACATGCTATATGGTTGATGCTAGTCCATATATAGGAAAAAGTACCAGAACGAATGGTTTGCCGCTTGCTACCTACTTTGTAAAGGAGCTTACAAAATCTGTCCATGGAAGTAACAGGAATATTACCATGGACAATTGGTTCACGTCCGTCAGTTTGGCAGATGAACTACTCCAAGATCCTTACAAACTGACAATAATTGGAACACTAAGAAAAAATAAAAGGGAAATTCCTCCCGAACTGCTTGACATAAGGCAGCGAAACGAATACATCAATGTTCTGTTTTGATCCAGAAAAAGTATTACTTTCGTATGTGCCTAGGAAGCAGAAATTAGTACTGCTATTGTCTACAATGCATGAGGGTGCTGAAATTTCAAAACAAACAGGAAAACCAGCAATTGTTCAGAACTACAATGAAACTAAAGGGGGTGTCGACACATTCGACCAAATGTGTTCCAACATGAGCTGCAGCAGGAAAACTAGAAGATGGCCCCTGTGTGTGCTATATGGTATGGTGAATATAGCCAGCATCAACTCCTTTATGATTTATACTTTTAATGCTTTATCAAGAGGAGAGAAACCCCTTTCACGTTACCAGTACATGATAGATTTAAGTCGTCGCCTTGCTGAGCCATGGATGAGGCATAGATTATCGACTCCTACGTTGCGTCGAAATATAAGTCAAGATATTGCCCTTCTTCTCAATATTCGAAAAGATACAACACCTGAAATCCCTCTAGAAAAAAAGCGTAAAACGTGCTTTTTTGCCCTTCTCAAAAGAGACGGATGACAACGACGTATTGTGGAAAGTGTGGACATCCGATCTGTGGTGAGCATCGAGGAAATGTATGCAAGGAATGTAGTGTCAAATAATATATATATTGACTTTTTATTGATATTTTGTTCTTGCATTTTATTGTAAAGTCCTTAGAAATCTATCTTTTATTTTTCATGAGTTTTTTCATAAGAATTTTATTGTACAATGCAAGTTTTATATTATCTTCGTATATTTTACGATAGTCCCGTATTAAAGTATTTTGAAACAAGTCCCGTAATCTAGGGTTAAAGAAGGTGTTCAAAATGTCGTCCTCCACTTTCCACACAAGCTTCATTACGACGAAGCCAGTTTCTTCTTACTCAAGGTCCTCGAAATTGTCCATTTATCATTTCAGTCGCATTAATTTTTTTTTTCGCGAAGTTGTGTTTCAGTTGTTATTGGACCAGCCACATAAACCATCCTTTAAGTTCCCCCCAATACCAGAAATCCATCGAATTGAGGTCAGGAGATCTTGCTGGCCATTTTCGAGGATCAGGAGCATTTTGACCGATCCAGCGATTTGGATAATATTCACTCAAGTACTGAATGACGCCTCTAAAAATGTGTGGTGGTGCCCCGTCATGAAGAAACCACAAATTCTGTCTCCATTGTAAAGGCATGTTGCCTAAGGTCTGTTCCAATAGTGCTGGTAGATTATTGGCTAGAAAGCTAAGGTATCCTTCTCCTGACAACTTTGGGGCTAACTCGAAAGGGCCAATTACCTGATCGTCAAGAATACCGCGCAAATATTTATTTTAAAACGTTGTTGGAAATGACCTCCACGAATGGTATGAGGATTTTCTTGGGCCAACGTGTGAGTATTACGGAAATTTAATATCCCGTCTCGCGTAAACGTACATTCGTCCGTCGTTAGAATGTTTTTGAAAAAATCCGGATTTTCAATGTTTTTGTGCAAAAACCACTGACAGAATGTTCGTCTGCGAGGATATTCTTCTGGTAACAAGGCCTGCACTCGTTGTTCATGGTAGGGATAAAGCAAATTTTCCCGTAGGATTCTATGGACTATGGACTATGCGGCGGCCTAATTCCCGAGTGCTGACATCTGCATTGATTTCCACGATACTTAAAATTTGTTTCTCCTGCTCTACAGTAACCTGTCTTTCACGAGTGCGAATATTAGAAGGCTGAACGCCACCTGTATCTCGAAGTCTTAGGTACACTTGCACAAATGTCCTTCTGTCTGGGTGTACCCGTTGGCGAAATCTGTCGCGATAAATTTGAGCTGCAAGATTTGAATTATGACGAGCTTCACCGTAAACTAACAACATGTCGGCGGACTCTTGATTCGAGAACATTGTAAAAATAAACACGACGACGTACGCGAACAAAAACAAAAAAACATCATAACCCCTGTTACCGTTTGAGATCGATTGCCGGTTCGATAAGAGTGATGAAAAACCCACGCGCTGTTGTCATGTGTGTTTTAAATATTAAGTTTAACGGAACTTACTTACTGACAAATTTTTTTTAACTTAGAAAAACTTAATGTCATTTATTTGTTAATTACTCAATTTAAAAACGTTTTAGATTAGATTATAAAAATTAGTAAGATTGTGGTGATTGTGATCGATATAAAGTGCTTCAGGTTATAAACTATAAAGCCATTTAGACAAAAATCTATTGACTTTTGGACCATGGATTATATGAACCTTTTGACTTGTTTTGACCCTCCCAATTACCTTTTTAAATAATGACTACCATAACGTTTACACTCTGTATAATACCTACGTAATAAGTAGTTTCAATAAAGTTAACACAATGGTTGTATAGATGATAGAAATTTAAATTTGTACTGCTTTTGCAGTTTAACCTCACCTAAAGCGAGAGAACTTACACGCTTTCAATTTCTTCTTTTCAGTTACGATACGAGGGGCTCGCACTCATCAATGGCCAAGCACTGGCAGGACACCAGTTTGGAGGGCAGGGCATTCTTTAGAACAATGATGGAACCCTCAACCCTGAGCATCGACAGCATTAGCGAAAAAGATGAGGGAGAGTATCACTGCAGGATAGATTTCTACCGGTCACCCACCAAGAATAACAGGGTTTCTCTCACAGTAGTTGGTAAGTGACTTTTTAAACTGCTTCAAGAGTTTATAGACTAAATATTGGGCAATTTGGACTACGTTCACTGGCTGGACTTCCCTTGGCGTTTTGTTACAAAATCTTCAGAAGTAGCTCATTACTAGTGTCACACGAGTTATAAGATCGATGCCTCGAAATCGCTTTTTAAAAAGTTTATTTTCGAAAATACAAAACTCAAAAATGTACTTTTACAAAATTATTACAAGGTGATTATGATGTTTACAGTACAAAGTCTTAAATCTGACTGACTATGAAATGTGTTGTGAACAATAAAGTAAACTCTAGGTCTTCTAGGAAATTAGTAGCATCGTCGGCAGTATTCCTGGCATATCAGCAGGAACGGCTGATATAACTAATGACTGAAGCAGCACTTGACGTGTAGCTCGACTCTAGCCTGGAGAGGCCTTTCAAAGTTCTGCTAAACTTAGTCAGTTCTTTGGAGTTTCATACCAAATTCAAGTTATGCATTCTTGGAGTTTGGTCACCTTGAGACATTTTTGAAAAAAATGTCACTTCAGCCACCTTTGAGTAGGTGTGTGTAAATGTTACAAAATGCAACCACTGCTCGCTGCTACCAAACCGGTTTTGTGGTGTAAGGTAACTGAACTCGTTCAATTCGGCATGCATACAAATCATGTGCAACATACTTAAAAACGGGTGTATGCTTATCGACGATTCCATACGGAATCTCGGTGAGGGCGCATTTTCGGGCTTGTGCCCAACAGTGCGACGTTGTCAGTTGTCTTTCGCGCTTCCGCGATGTATCTTTAAAAGTATCAAGACGCAAAGCATAAGTCACAAAGTATAAGCAATGTGAGTTTCAAGAAACAAAAAATGTTTTCCTCTCTTCTCCTTTGAAGTCTTCTGTCTCGTCTCAATAGGTTCTGCCTCTCAGTATTTCCGTTGAGGTCCATTTTCACCCAGCACTATAGCAACTTCGCAGTTTTGAATTCCTGACAGTGGGTAACAATTCAAGTTCAAATTATTGGGGTTTGCTCAACATTTATTAAAAATATGACAGGAGAAAAACACAGATAATTATCTGTTCTAGAAACTCACACGTACCTGGAGTTGGCGTGTTTGAAGTCGCCGAAACGTCGTACTTTTAATAAATGATTCAAGCTGGTCGTATTCTATGAATTCGTAACTTTGTGCCTCTTCTATCAATCGCAGTGCCTCGGTATTTAGATTTATGTCTACGCAGTTGTTAGACGAATGACTAATTAAATATATTTTCAGCAGCAGACTAATTTAATTTTGGATACTCTTGGTTGGTGCTCGCCACCCTCAGGGAGATTTTGAAGTATTCTTATACAGGGTGTTCCTTAATGATATGCGAACATTTAAGGGTCTGAATCTACATGAAAAATGAATGTTAGATTGTTTTATAAACTATGGTCCAAAAATGTTTACTTACAAAAACTCGGGGTGTTGCAGTTTTAGGAAAGAAATGGAAATTAATTAATATTTTCAGAACCGCTTCACATATTTCACTGATATTTAGTACGTAGTGAAATTTGATAAAACTGCATATTTTTCATTGCAAAAATAATTTCTAGCTTTAACAGTGGCGTGCGTACGGGTATTGAGTTCGATATTAAAAAAAATGGTACGCCAATGGTCTTTTGCCAAATAAAAATTATTTTTGAATTCCCCGTTCAATTTAAGACAAATGATTTCTCCTGAATTGTTTTTCTTTGATGCGCCATTTTTGAGATAAAAAAATACAAACCGTTCTATTGTCCGAGAAAATTAATGTAATAATTGAAGAATGCAATTTAGCAACAAATATCTAGTCGCTCTGTGATATGTTACTGGCTTTTGACATCGGGCAAATCTCTGTTACTCAAAGCTGTTCGCTGTGATATCTTTTCCAAGATTTAATTTTTACAACCTTGTTAATAATGGAGAATTATTGCAGAAATGCATTACGTATATGGCCTTGCAGACGATAATGGTGAGCAAGCCAGACGGATTTATCACCACAGATATCCCGGTCGTGCTTTGCCAGATAGTCGAAAGTCTTCTAATATTCATCGTCGTCTTGTTGAAACTGGTTCTGTCCAAAAAGGAACATCTG